CTACCTGGTCTTCAGTGACGATGCATGGTATTTTGAAATTTGATTAATGTCACTTATTCCGTCTTTATTTTCATTGCACTCAATAATAATAGGGCGTATTATCAGTTCCCCATGCAGTTAGGCTCAGGGTCTATATGAGGCTGTTCAGCAGGCTATGAAAATTCCGCCGCACCTAAGGTTAGACACTGCAAAAGGGTCAATAGTTATAAAGCCAGATTCATCATTGTAAGACCTGATACCCAACCCAGTCAGTGGTCTTTCATAGTATACGAATCCTAAACACATTGACTACTGTGCGCCTCAGTGAATCCCATGCCTCATCCTCTCCTTGACGCCATCAGTAATGGCAGCCAGCCCTTCAAATCGGCGTGAAATCTTCGACTGCCATGTCCAGTCTAGGTATATTTACCATGTCTCTGCATGTATGTACAGTGGGCGCATTCAGTTGTGACCCGAGTCATGACTCAAGGGTCTCAGTTCAACGCTTGCATTGAGGCGTCAAAATAAATTTTGCTCCATGGTGACACCTCATGTCAATGTCATCAATCCGGGGTATAATAGTTTTTGAAAAGCACCGCACCTACCGAGAATCATGAACCTTGAGTCATGACCCGGGTCACAACTGAATGCGCCCAGTCAGGGCCGGCCCTAGCCATTTCGGCGCCCTGTGCAAAGAGACTCCCAAAGCACCCCCCTCCCCCAGGAGTCAGGAGAGTTAGTGATATCAAGAGGCGATTTCGCCCATTTCGATATCACGTGTCGAGGTCGAGCGTTCCTTAATTTTTGGGTAGGCCTAACCCTCTTAAAGCTAAATATTTTTTTTTTTTTACTATCCTAGTTGCTTACTGTCTAGTACCTACGTCAACATTGCCCCCCACCTTTTTGCCTGTCCATGAAAGCATCTAGTTTCTTCTTAAAGATAGTCACAGAAGGGGCAACCACTACTTCATCATCTAACGCATTCCACGCGTTCACCACTCTGCAAGTAAAGAATTCCTGTCTCGACCTGAGCCGCACCTGCGGTTTGCGCAACTTAAGTCGGTTACCTCTCGTTCTCTTGCTGTCATCAAACTGGAAAAACCTACCACACTCGACATTATCTATTCCTTTAATTATCTTGAAAGCCTGGATGAGATCGCCCCTCCTTAACCTTCGTTCGAGCGAGTACAGTCTCAGCACTTCTAAACGCTTCTCGTATGATAGTCCCCTAACCTCCTTAATCATTCTTGTGGCCCTCCTCTGTACTCCCTCGAGCGCCAACAGATCGCCCTTATTTGTAGGCCTCCAAAACTGGATGCAATATTCCAGCTGGGGTCTTATCAGCGCCGCATACAACGGAAGAATAACGCGAGATGTCCTACTTGCAACCGACCGACGAATGTAACCTAGAATCCTATTGCATTTGGCCACCGTCGCTTGCGCGTGCGAGGAAAACTTGAGGTCCTCATCGATAGAAACACCTAAATCTCTCTCTCCGTTTGCCTCATCCAATTTAACATCGCCGAACGTGTCGAGAGACCTACCGTTGTTTCGACCGACGTGGAGAACTTTACACTTACTTTTATTGAACCTCATGAGCCATTTCTTGCTCCACTCGTCCAAAAGACTTAAATCTCGCTCGGCTCTAGCCCTATCCGCCTCCCCCCTTATGGTAAAACCTATCTTGGTGTCGTCGGCAAATTTACTTATCTTACCCTCTACGCCGAGATCCAAATCGTTTATGTAGACCAAAAACAGAAGCGGTCCAAGGACCGAGCCTTGACGGACATCGCTTGCGACTCCGACCTCCTTCGACGCTTCCCCATTTATCATCACCCGTTGCTCTCGTCCTGCCAGCCAGCTACTGATCCAATCACTCGTCCTACCCTGTACCCCAGGATGGAGAAGGGTAAATCCCGAGCGTTTCGGCGCCCGGGGTTAATTTTGCGCCCTGTGCGGGGGCACATGTGGCACATGCCTAAGGCCGGCCCTGCGCCCAGTATATTAGATTTGATGAGCAGGACATTTCTGGGTTTTGCCTGCGGCCTTACTAAAATTGCGCCTGTTCCGGACTCCCCCCATTTATCATCACCCGTTGCTCTCGTCCTGCCAGCCAGCTACTGATCCAATCACTCGTCCTACCCTGTACCCCAGGATGGAGAAGGGTAAATCCCGAGCGTTTCGGCGCCCGGGGTTAATTTTGCGCCCTGTGCGGGGGCACATGTGGCACATGCCTAAGGCCGGCCCTGCGCCCAGTATATTAGATTTGATGAGCAGGACATTTCTGGGTTTTGCCTGCGGCCTTACTAAAATTGCGCCTGTTCCGGACTCCCGCGTCTCTGCTGCTCGGGGACAGCTTCCCTTCAAGCTACGCGTGAAAGAAGCTAAGAAAATTTTGAGTGTGCCTGGAATTGCATGGGAGGCCACCATGCAGCACTGTTCTGAGCATCGTGCTATGCCGGTTGGACGCGTTGGAAACTCCCTCTCGGCTTTACTTATCCTCCCTGATTTGACTTGCAATATGAATTTACGAAGGGACCGTGGCACCATTGTGACGTCATCTTCATAGCCGCAGGAAGAAACGAACGGAATACGTTGCTACTCAGCTAGCTGGCACATTTAGAGCACCTAACAGCGTCCGGAATTGAGTTAGCTTGTAAAACTTTAATGGTGGCCTAGGCCTTACTGATGTGTGGAATGCAAGAATGAAAAGAGTTGTTATTTGGTCCATGTATTTCAAGGGCCCATAACATTGAACCGATAAATCACATGTACTTAACCCTTTCACTCTCAAGCAGAATTGTATCCTATTAGGAAGAGCTGACATATTGGTACCTTGGGATTCTAAGGGTTAATAGGTAGTTTCCTTACAGGTGATTATCTGTTGCCCAGGATTCACACTAGCTTTTTAAAATCTTGAGTCCTGGGGGCTAGCTTCAGTTCAGTGGGAACACGTTTAGGTGGTTGTCAATGATTCCCATGGACTTAGATGTTTTGCAAATATGAGTCCCTCCCAAGAAAATACGAGTCAGGGACTTGCTATAGCAAGTCAATATGAACCCTGTTACCTTACCTGTACCATTGGTAGTACTGGTTAGCAAAAGGATTTACCTAAGGTACAATAAACTTTGGGAAAGGTTAGAGACCACTGATGGTTGACATACAGACAGTTGACAGTACAATATCTCAACATGACATCTACAAAGTTAGAATGAGTGAGAAAGAGAAACATGTCAATGAGTCACCATTGCTGATATCTCCAAATTTTGATGCATGAGGCTAAGTTTATTCAAGGGTATTTCCAAACATCAGGCAAGCATCAAATGACAAACTGTCAATGTAAACCCAAGGAGCTCCATAATCCTACTAATTTCAGATTAAATAAGGACTCATGACAGAATCAGTCAATGTTAGCCCTTGAACTTGAACCTGATTTTTAAAGTAAAAAATCATTCATGATTGTGTAGTCCTATTAATGCTGAGATAGACAAAAGAGCCACAAAGAGGCAGGACAAGAGCATCCTCTGTCTGGGTCTGAATCAAAGTCAGTTAGTGAAAAAAAATGTTATTCTCTCTAGAATTATCCTGACAACTCCTCTCAGTATTATAGGCAACCTCAGCAATACGGTTATAGTTTTATCAGAACAAAAAAAGGAAAAAGGAGGACTTTTTGGAAGTATAAAAGATTTAATGTGATTATGGGCTGTTTGATTTGCTTTCTTGGTACCTGGTGGCTACTGACAATGTAAATACATCACCCAACCTTGACAGAATCTGTTAGAGGACTTAATTTGGGTGTCAATTTATATTCTGCCATTTATGAAAAATTATTGAATCATAACCATTTCATTGGCTGTTTTATTGATTTATTTCATTTCAATTCAATGTTTGAAGAATTGATTTCCTCATATGGGTATGCCTTGTAATTTTGAGTTTTTCTTATTTTTAGGTATGTATTGCATTATTCACTACCTCTGGGTGCAACCACAGCAGCATCTTCTAAGTGTTTTTTTTTTTGCAGGCTACTTTGCTAAAATCCCAGCTACATTGCTAAGTTCACCCTGATCTTGTATCAATCCTTCAATTTAGTTGTAAAGTGGTCATAAGGTATTGGTGTTGTGTGTTGAAAAAAAAATGGGTGGAAAATCATTTAAGACAGTACATTAGACACCTGAGAAATTTGCACAATGTCTTTCATAATTGGCTTGTTCTCTTTCATGCGGATTGCATAAAAACTCTTTGAAATTTATTGGCTGCAGAAGCAGGGCATTCTTTGCTACAAAAAGTGTTGAACAGTTATCTAATTAGTGGGTTTTGCCCTCTCTGTGAAAGGTTCAATTGCACTGTACAAAACACTGTACTTTAATGCTAGGGAAACTTTCAAGTCAATATTGGTGATGATCTGGGAGTGATCTAATACTGCAGGTTAGAGTTGCTTGAGATTCATGGTCTTAACAACTAAAGCACCATGTTCCTGGTCTTCCAAACTGCAATGGATACAAGCAGGTCTAAAACACCACCTGTTGGTCTTATGGTGTTTAAGTCTGGAGGCATGTAATGCTGAAAGCTTTATTTTTTTTTAGGCCACCTGGTGCTTCTTGAGATGTGCAGATGCTTTGAACAAGACATCAAGATGCTAGAGCCTGACCTGCACTTTACTTCTGGGGACCCCATCGCCAGGAAGAGTCATGAATGAAACCTCATGAAAGATTGTTTTAGGCTTAGTCTTCACCATATACATTTCTGTCACATCTGAGGGTATAGCCATCAATACTTCTAAGAGTCAGGATATAAGGATATTTACCTGCCTATGTGTTCCAGTCACTGATTCATTGCCCCCAAAAATGAGGGGCTGGATAACTGAGATTGCAAAAGCTCATTAGTTTAAAAAGCTCATCTTGAAGGCCTAATAATATGCTGTGCACTTGCTTTTTAGGTGCATGCACCCCTCTTCATACAGGTTTGTGGAATTGACTGTACATTTTTTGTATTAAGGAAAGTGCTGATCAGTGTGAGTGACAATGAGCACCAAAGCACATGCTCCAGAGTTGAAAAAGTTTATGGACAAGAGAGTCCAGCTCTTACTGAATGCTGGTAGGAAGGTGGCAGGGATCCTGAGAGGTTTTGACCCCTTCATGAATTTGGTGTTGGATGAGGGTGTGGAGGGGACCAAAGGTGTACAGAATCATATTGGGATGATTGTGGTGAGAGGCAACAGCATATCCCTGATGGAAGCACTTGACAGAGTCTGGTGATCGTAGGAATTACTTTGGTTCACCCCCCTTTTTTTTTTGCTCTGCCATTATACCTTTCATAGCCTCTTTCCTTATGGGGCTGAGGACAGAACTGTGCTGAAATTAAACCAGTTTGATAGATAATCATGTCACTTTCCTTTGAGAGCAGTGCAAGATGATCAACTTGTGTTACCTTGGGCATAAGAAGACCCATCTTACCCCCATCTCTCCATTGCTTGTGGGCTTTTTGCAATAAACACCTTCCAGATTTTTTCCTTTGGTATATTATTTGAGAGTTTTGGCAACCTGTTTTTGTGGAGGATGGCAACATGAATGCATTATTAGGTGTTCTAGTTCCAGATTTTCTGACATTTTGGCTACATGTTTCAGATCTGGAATGGGGGCAAGCAACCACCACAGATCTGAAGGCAGATGATTTGCAAATGATAACCAATCTGAGGGCATCTTAGGCTCAGTCACGCACAGCTATGGTGCAATCTAGTAAACTTGCTAATCCCTAGATATCCAATTTTGATGCATTTTTCACCAGATTTTAGGTATTGCAATTGGCTTGCATGAAGAATTCCTAGTCTTTCAGCTGACCTCAAGCAACAGATGGAGACACCCCATTGTTTGTCCTATCTATGGAGAGATACTGAAGATGCACCATCTATCACAGGCTAGCACAGGTAATTATGAATTCATGAAGCTCATCTTTGGCTCTTGGAAAGGAGTGTAAATTCCTATTTTTCAGCAAAAAGGTTCATGCTATCTTATTTTTTTTGGATGACAGGTAGGCTCACTTTAGAGTGTGGTTAAAGAAGGTCCCAGTTTCAGCAAAACACAGCGAGTCATCCATCCATTGTCCAAATGAGGATTAACTCAAATGGATCACACAACATTGTACCAAGACTCATCAGTCACATAGTTCCTGATTGGAGGAACCTTGCATATCATGGTCACATTTATGGAACAGCTGGAAGAGCCCCTCCATATTTTAAATGCCTCCTCACTTGTCTTGAAACTGCTGATGATGACATTAATGACATGATCTTTTCTACATCCCTGGCCATCCTCTCAAGAACAAGTAACAAAAGTTCCCTATTCTCACAAGAGAATATCAAAATTAATTTCTGTTGTCACTCATACACACTTACTCAATGTTTGTTGTAAGTTTCCAATGCTATGAAATCATGGATGACTTCAGTAATCTGTACTTCTCTGAGGATTCATGTGTTTGCCTAAGAAATTGGGAGTCGCTATTAGCATTTCTACATTTTTTACACAATTACTTGAATATTCAGGATATTTGAATGTTACACTCTCATTGATTGTTTTTTTTTTCTGGCAAAAGCTTTTTGAAATTATTGTAAAGAAGCTGCAGATTTGAGGACTTAAAAATCTCCAGTCAGGAAATGACTGTGCACAAAGTGACTTAGTGAAATCAGTGGTTCGCTAAAAAATTTGCCTGCTTGAATACCGTCCATTTTTCTGCACAATGTTTCTTACAATTAACCTTTATCGGACAAAAGGCACAACTGCTGTCTTGTAGAATGTATTTTTTCATGGCCTAAAGGTACAAATGCTGTACTACAACTTTTCGGAAAAATGTTCTAATACTGTCAACAGTTTATTTTTTGAACAGTTGCGCTACTCAGCTAGTGAGTGTTTATGAGCTGCGTATAAAAAACCCAGCTGCCAGCACTTATGCAGGAGATTTAAATGTGTACAATAAAGGGTAAGGATAAATTTTTCTCTAATGCAATCAGGTAAATCAAAATCTTGCCTATAGTCAGGACATTAAAAAAACTGCCTCTTTACAGAAAGCAAAGCAAATTTGCATGTGTCAGGTTTTGTAGGCTTGCTGCCAAGCAATGAAGAGGGAAGGGTTCATCAGCACTGCCAACAGATTTCTCACTGAACATTTTCAATTGCCTGTATCTCTGGATTCTCTTGATTAAAATTTGCAGAAACAAGGATAATGGAAAAGAAGAATGTTTAACATAAAAATTTAATAAACATTCACACACTTAATCAAAAGATATCCAGAACTTTAAAATTGGCCCCTGATTTATTTGACCACTGTGTGGACAGGGTATCTCTTGGAATGCCCTGTCCACAGTAGACAGGGCATTCCAAGGGCTTTGCTTTGCAGTGGATCCTGAAGCATTCTTGTTGGTTTTGGTTCCATTTACAATGAAATATTTATATGGAAGTAGTGAGAAAAAGCCAGCAAGGTTCTTATATTCATAGAGTAGGTGGATGCAAAATATTTTCACCCTTGACTCAAGAAAAACCTATTAGTCTTTCAATTGAGGACAGATAAGGGGGTGAAAGTGCAGGCATAGATTGACTTTCCTTTTCCTTTGATCAGTCAAATGATTGGAATCTCACAATGTAAAAAAAAAGAAGAGGGTATTATCTTTGGACATCCAGATAAAGGACCAAGGAAGTGCTCTGGGAAATGTTATGCCTATATTCTGGTAGATACAGTAGAACCTCGGTTATCCGGGCCTCGATTAACCGGTGATCGGATTATCCGTGCGTCTTTGTCGTCGACGTTTTTTTTTCGATACGGCCCGCTTTCGAGACGCGGTACGTGTACTGTATACAATCATGTGGGAGGGAAAGCAAGAGACTACCAGAAACTCAGAAGACAAGAAATTTACATTTCATTGGGATTTCAGCCGAAAAACCTGCTTTTAACCCTCTCTTCTTGNGGGAAAGCAAGAGACTACCAGAAACTCAGAAGACAAGAAATTTACATTTCATTGGGATTTCAGCCGAAAAACCTGCTTTTAACCCTCTCTTCTTGCTAAGTGGTGGGCCGTAAATCATTTTTTCAACCAAACAGACTATTAAAGCAATACCAGCAAAGGTAGGATTAGTATTTTATGAATAAATCGCATTTTAGTTAATATACCATAGCATTACATGGTTTTTCTTTCGAATTCAGGATTATCCGTGGTTTTCGATTATCCGGCGAAGGTCTCCCGGTCATTAGCCCGGATAATCGAGGTTTTACTGTACTACCAAATGCCATGTTTCAACCAAACATGGCATTTGGGAGAATGCCATGTTGAAAAATGGCATTCTTTGCTGGTATTTCTTGCAGCCTGCAAATGATAATCAATGTCTTTATAATTAGGCAATAATGCCGTGTTGAAAATTTCCTCATTCAAGCTTTCGCATCACAGTTTCAGAGAAGTACATATCTTTAAACGTCACGGAAATAAAAAATTGGCACGTTTCCCAGAGAGTCGAAAACTCAATACTTTTTTATATGCGATTCTTGTCCACGAAACCATGCTGCCAACCGATATTTCAGTCGTCCCAGGTGAAGGTAACCCCACACACACTTTTATGATCAGTGAAACACCTAAAGCGCCATCCGTCCAGCATCAGTCGAATGCCAATCGCAGAATTCGGACTCTTTGAAGCCCAACCCAGAATTTCTCTCCGCGAAGCAACGCGACCCACAGATCGCGTTTCTCAGCGTTGTGACCCGCTGCGAGCAACGACGCATCGCCCGCGCCGCTAAAAGACCACCAGGTCCCGCCCGCGAATCCCACGAGTGCCAGACGCAAGCGCTTGCGTCTATGGTGCCGATAATGGAGACACACCAGCTGCGACCGTTAGCAGATGCAATACTCGATCTCATTTTTTCAAGTTCGTTCGTCAGTCGGGGATGAAGATGGCATCGCATCCCAAGTCGCAGTACTCGGCCGCACGTACAGTTTCGGGAGGGAGTAATCGAGGAACCAGAACTAGTTTCTCAGATATTTAAAAATTCACATTCGGCTGTGATTTTTTATTTCTCCCGGATCATGTGATACCCCACAGACTTGTCTTGCGCCATGAATTCCAAATTTCCTCCCCCCTCCTGAATTTATTTTTTTTTTTTTATCAGGCAGAGACAAGAATCGACAAATGGAAGAGGATGCATTAATGCATCCGCTTCTTTCAGAAAAATTGAAAAAAAATCAATGATTTTTTTTCAATTTTTCTGAGAGTTTTCAACCCTTGATTTTTTTGCAGCACCTTACTAATAACATAGTGCAAGGCACCTTGAGATCACGCGGAGGATTGCTCAACTGCCCAGCACTTACGGATTTGAATAAGGAATCCCTCGGGCCAAACGCATGATTACGCAATAGCAACTTGCAAAATGTATTCCTCGCTTGAGCTTGCAGAATCTTCTGCGTGCTTCCTCGAAAAATGGAAGCAGCTTGAGATTCCTTGCCGAATAGTCTGTCATCACCATTGCTGTGCTTTCCACACTTTTGGTGTAGTTGGAGTCGCAAACAGTAATACGAGGGAATCGAGTCTATAGCATCCCTCCAACCCTTTACTCGCTAATTGCCTCGAGAAACATAATATCATTTTGACATTACGCTAAAATGTCGAAATTAACTATGTTATTTTCTCCCGCCTATTTATATCGGACCCGATATGCATATTTTGCCAACTCTATCCCAGTGAGTTGGACCCTCGAGGCATTTCGATCCACACACAAAACAGAGCTGACGAGCGCCGTTCAAAACACTTTCCCCAGCTGGCAGTCAACCATAAATCGCTACGTCTGCAGAAAACCGAGAGAAAAGCTGCCATCCGCCTGGCCACACGCAGGCAAATGCGTTGCAGACCTCCCAAAGCAAAAGCCCGTCTCGAGAGACCCCGAACACCTCAAACCTTCAGGCCCCTGCGTCTGCCCTCCGCATCTTCCTTTCATTCTCTCGTCCTTGCAATTAGGAATGCTTCCCTCGATTTCCCAAAACCAATGCGCCTTGCATCAACAACTTCTAGCAAAATGCTCCTAAAGTGGATCATGAAATATATTTGTCTTCATTCGTGAACGCATCAAATTAAAAAAGTATTTCAATTCAAGGAACGCTTTGGAATCTGGGAAAACTTCATACAACTTCTCTCTGTCTCTCAACTATATGCTGAAATTTGCCAACAAACTAACTTTAAACCCACTCAATTTTATTTTGACGTAATAGCTCTATGGTGTACGGCGCACTTCATTGTGTTAAAATCTCGATGTTTTCTTATCTCTTGCTTCTTTTCCATGTCTATTTATTACCTCTTCACACACAGACTTGAATTTACGTTTGGTCTCTTGGTGTTTTTTTTCCTTTTTTTTTGTCGTAACCATTTTGTACCAGCTGATTCTTGTATCTGCCTAATTAAATTAATTAATAAATTCAGGAGAGAGAAGAAAATTGGGAATTTATGGATCTATAAGAGTTTGTGAGAAATCCCATGGTCCGATCGAAAAAAAATGCGAGACAGGTACTTACCTTCTATTTGCAGTGAAAAAATATGCATAATGCTCTATCCAAGAAATGAAGAGCGTTGACTTATTTATCTCTGTACCTCCTATAATTTCGCAATAAATCTCCAATTTTTTAATTAAAGGCAAAAGAAATGAAATTCGCTTTAATATTTCATTCCTGTCTGTTTTGAAGCGAAATTTCAACTCGAAAGTTGCTGGTATTTAGAAAAACTCCCATGATTCCTTGATGGTCGAGTGTAGACTGTTGGAACAATTGCGATGGAATGGCACTCCTGTAAATTGCGTCACAGGGAATTGCATGGCGCAGACAAAAGTGCTAGCAAAAACCTAGCCCTCATTCCAAGGCCTTCCAAAGGGCCATCGCTGATCGAATTGTATCATTTTCAGTTGGATATGCGAAGCTATCTTTCGCCCATATAAAAAGGATAGGGCATTTTACTTTTAATCACCCTACATGGAAGTGAACATTTTATACTCATATCTAATGTCAAGCAGTTCGTTTCCATTCCAAAAAAAAAATTTTTAAACAAAATTCCCAGTCTTGGTCAGTGGATAGTATCCGCAGTTTTTTCAATTTGGTAAAATTTTTACAAAGTTCTTAGAAAACGTCATGCTTAATGCCTCATAAATATAGAGTATGTACTTCCAAGTAGGCGTGTATTTTCAGTTCCACATAGTTTAGTTTAAGAGATGCAATGAAATGGGAAAAAAACGATTGGGCAAGTCGCCACTGTTTCAGCCTTCCACTAGCGATTTGAAAAAAAAAATTAAAGAGCTGCAGGTACAGAGGTACAAGAATTCATCACTTGGAAAGCAGCATCACACATTTTTTCAGTATGATCAGAGAGTAAGCGAATCAACTATTAATTCTCAGGCGGCTTGATTTGAAATGGAACCACAGAATTGGAAAATCCTTCATCATGCACCTCTCCCATGACGAAATGGAAAACCGACAACAGGTGCTCTCACGTGATGATATTTAACAAATGTTCCGTCCACATATCTGCATTTCACATGTATACGTGGCCGTGTAAAATGTGACGCGAGCAAGTGTGGAGGAAAACCCTCTCGACCAGGATCTCAGAGGATATAAAGCTGCGTCGGGACGAAGGGAGGGTCAGAGGATCACGAGACAGACGAAAATGGAGGTCCCTTATTTCACGCTGTTTCTTCGAATCCTGTTCCTCATTCACGGCCTGGTTCGGGAGACCAACTCTAACGTATTCTCGGTGTTGTGTCCTGTTTTTTTTTCATGAATTTTGGCTTCCTTTGCAGGATGGATTCGGTGGCGAGGAAGAGCCATTGAAGAGGCAGAATCCGCCATGCGCCTCAACCCAGACATTAACTAGTGGACAATCATCTCCTCTGAACACCGGGACCAAGCTAAATATTACCTCTTGCTCCTGGAAATTCACCGTCAGCCATCGAAAATCATATTTCCAAAGATTTATTTAAAACTCTATAACCAATTTCAATATAAGTTAGAAATTCTCTCTCTCTCTCAGTGCCCGAATAACATGACTCTACAATGCCCCATTGCGTATGCACCTTGCCCGCAAACAACATTCGTTGCCAATAACATTAGGTATACCCGAGAGCATTTTCTTTTCTGGTGTCATTCGCCGTCTCGACAGATGTTGAGAAGGATCACGAATATGTTTCATTACGAAGGTATTGCGGCTCAGGGAAGTTGAAACCCACCAATGTAGGAACTTCTTTGATCGTCAAGTTCTCCCAAACCGGCGGAGGATCCCGCTTCACCTGCAGTGTTGACTGCGGTCAGTTTCGCGTCGGTTCAGGCACGTATTTATGCATGGAAGTGCCTCTTATACTTTTCTACCTCTGATAGGTACTATTACCATGACCGCAACAACCCCGACCGCAACAACTCCTACGGGTACAGTAACGACTCCTATGACTACTCCACCTTCCACTTGCAGTGAGTATCCACACATTCTTCGAGCATTACTTTTTATCAAAACAATTGTGAAAACTTTTTTAATCCACTTCCAGTTTGCGGCGTGTCCCAGCTGGCTCCAACGCTCTGGAGATCGATGGAGACGAAAGAGACACAAGAGGAGGATTTAGATCGGATCGTGGGAGGGACGGCTGTGCCCGACCAGCGGAAGTACCCGTGGATGGCCTATTTCGGGGAATGCGGAGGGGCTCTCATCAACGATCGATACGTTCTCACTGCTGCTCATTGCATCACAAGGTGTTCGGTCGCTATTCATTTATTTCAACCCCTTTTTTTTATTAGGTCTTCTATTTGTAAAGTCTCCGGATGTTGAACTTATGGCGATTAATATCTCCACAAACAGTTATGATTTATTCAAGCAATTATCAGTTTAAATTAAGCCATGAAAGCATCTAAATCAAACTGAGTAACCAACATTAACCGGAAAACTACTACTTCTAGTTTACGCCATCATAAGAACTAGCATTACAATTTCTGACATCAAAAGATAATTCATTATTTCTAGAGTCTCTTCGGTCTTGTATCTTTCAGGGATTTATATCTCTCTAAGATTCCCTTTTTACCTTTCATACGTTTTCTTCACAACAAATTAAGCCAGTCGGCAACAGTCTCAGTGACGCTGGGCGACCTGGACAAGTCGAACCCCTCAGACGGTGATATCATCAATATCTCAGCGACACCCATCGTCCACCCACAATACAACGCCAAGACATTAGATAACGACGTGGCCTTGCTGCATCTGAACACCCCTGTGAATTTCACTGCCCACCCAACCATCCGTCCCATCTGCCTCTCCTCTTCGGCTAAGCCCGTGGCGGGCCAGGATGTTGTCATTGCCGGATGGGGCCATACCTCCTACGGTGAGTCCTGGATTTATCTCTGTAGTTACTTTCTACCGTCGATAGGGAGAAACCGTGTTGGTTCCTGGTTTAGATGGCCTGAACTAGACAAAATGAAAGCCGTTTAATATATTTCTTTTTCGCTCTGGGGTTTCCAGTTTCTTTTTTAAGACACCATTTTCAGTGTGACAGTCAGTCAGACAGACAATGCGTGAAAATGCGTGCAACTAAGAGAATTCAGAGACAGCGCAATTTCTTCTCATGCATAGATGATCGGGAAGGAATGTTTATAAGGCTAGTAAAGTTCATGGCAGTCCCCATACGCTCCACACTGGGCAATAGCAGTGCAATTCTTTTCTATGCAATTGTATTGTAATTCTTTTCTATTTCTGCGGTCTCCTCCACGGAATCGCTGGTCGAGAGAAAAAAAAAGGGTTCCGACTCTTCTGGGATTTTTGATCTAACTATCCGACGTTTTCAATTTCAATGCCCTCAAGCAGAATGCTCGAAAATTTGCCGAGTCTGCAATAGAATTTAGGAATTTTTTATTTTTGGAAATTTCTCATGGTTTTCTAGTCCGCATCGCCGAAGAATCCGCCGAAATGTAGAAGCGATGCTGGTAGCTCGAAGTTTCTGCTGGAGTTCGAACGCTCAACATCTCTTACTAGAGCAGCGAATTAAAATAAGAAAACTTCTTGACCTAGTTTAAAATTCCAAATGAATAAGTTGACCATTTTGTGGCAGGTGGGCCAGCGCCGTCGGTGATGAGAGAAGCCGTTGTCAAGATTGACGACCAGGCGACGTGTGTGAACGCCTACAATCCCTACGCAGGTGGAAGAGGACGCTCTATCACCGGCAACATGTTCTGCGCTTCTGGGCCCGGCAAGGATTCTTGTCAGGTAGGCCGCAGGGATGGGATTTTTCTCATCATGATCACATTTGAAATAGATTTCAAAGGGAAGGTAAAGGGAAATTTTAAAAAGAGACGTTAGCGAAAAGTGACATTAGATACGATAGCAGAAGCAGATAAATAAACCGAACTGGAACGAACAACCCCATGAGAGCCAGAGGAAGGATATTTATAAATGTATATCCAACATTTTTCAGTTGTCAACCTCCACAAGAGCACGAAAAACATATTCTTCTATATTCCAAAAGAAAAAAAGCAATATATATACAGTGCTGCTTTGCACAGTCGTGCGTCTGTGTCCATTTCCACTTCACCTGTTCTCATGTCGATGCCAACATTTCCTAGCCAAAAGCTTTCTCGATTCCGCGACGATGTTCTTGCCACTTCCATCGACGGAGTGGAATCGGACTTGCTAGATGTTTTTCCCCGGCTATGACGTGTAGGGTGATTCGGGAGGACCGTTGATGCAAAAAACCACGGACGGGTCCTTCGTAGAGATCGGGATCGTTTCGTGGGGAAACGGATGCGCGGATCCGCTATTCCCCGGTGTCTACACGGTGGTCGCAAGTGAGTGGAATCCATCGTGATGTTTCGCCGCTTCCTTGGGTTATGGGGTTATCGTGGGATCACGCGTCTCGTTACAGATTACGTGGACAACTTCATCCGCGACAACACAAAAGATGCTGTGGCATGCCGACCTCTTCCGCCGATACGAGGCAAAGAATAAAGCTGTCTCTGCAAAATCATTATTGCATACGTTTATTCTGAACGGTATGAGCATTCTCTCCTCTCTTATAATCTCTTATAATATATTATATATCGATATAATGTTGCATGTCCTCCTTGAAATGGTTTGTGAACGTATGAATAGGCCTGCGATCGGCCTAATGTAACACGTCCTTAACGAGATGTCTCGAAGACCACGGATTCCCCCTTATAGGGCTAACTGTCAAGAATTGAGTTTTTATTGAAAGAAAAAAGGTAGGCCTTGGCGTAACCTGCAGACAGTCTGTTGGTTACGCTTAGGCCTAATGTTAGTGGGTCCTGTAAGGAAGGAGGTTGAAGAAAGGGAAAACCATTGAAAAAAATTTTCACTTTACTTCATGGTGTACATAATTTGTGGGCGGCCTGTACAGTATTCGAATTCAGATATGTACCTGTACATGTACCTGCATCTCAAACGAACTGGCAATACTCTCGCCTTCGACGCTCAACTATATGAATAAATCTATTAATTTATTTGAAACATGCGCCTTAGGCGCTCGCACCTTCGTGGATTTTAGGCATTTTTCATTGTGAAGTCATCTCACTTCCGTTTATGTTACGTGAAACAGTCAATCTGAGATTAATAGCATCAAATAAAAATATATATTCAACTTGGAATCGCCACGCCGGTGAAACACAACTAGGCAAAAGTATTGGCAAATGTGGTCGCTGCTCAACTCCACCGGAAGACAAAGTCATCGACCGACGAAACCACCAAACAGAAAGTACAAAAAGAACCATTTCAACCCCCTCCCCACCCCCCAATGCCCTGTCTTCCTCTTACATCCTGAAAGAAATCAACGAGCTATATGTCGAACACCAAAAACACAAATGTTTTCAAGGCAAGGATGTTATTCACCCCAAATTCCTCAGGAACCTTGTAGCCAAGGGTTGGCATGGATGGGACATCTCCTTATCGCTATTCACACGACCGGAAAGATCCCGAGAAGCTGGTGCGAGGTCATCACCCTCCTCAAACACGGTAAACCTAGAGAGGAAGCCGCCACCTACTGACCGATTTCACTCCTCTTGTCGGCTATGAAACCATGAAAGGCGTCACTTGCCCGGTTGACGCTTGTCATGGAGGAAGTGCTGCCGAAAGATCAGGCCAGCTTCTGCCCAGACAGAAGCTGCTGCGACCGAGTCCTCGCCCTAACGTGCCACATCGAAGCTGGTTTCCAGAGGAAACAAAAAACGGGCACCGTATCGTATCGTATCGTATGCTGAAGACAGGTCGATCGGCACGATCGACCTGTCTTCAGCATACGATACGGTCTGGAGATACGATACGCTCATTCTCAAGGCATCAAGAGTAATCAGAAGCCGGAGCACCATCCGCCTTCTTGCAGCCATGCTAAGCAACCGGCGCTTCCGCGTCCACCTCAACGGACAGGTCAGCAAGGCGCGCACCCTCAATCATGGTCTCCCACAAGGATCCGGGCTAGCTCCTTCACTCTTTAACATCTACAGGAACGACATGCATGACATGGTATCCAGAAAATCCACATATGCCGATAATATCGCACTCGCGGCATAAAGGACATAAACATTAAAGGACAAGGCATAAACGTTCTGCCATCACTGCCGACCTGAAGATCATAGTGGAATATTTCCACCTCTGGAAACTCCGTCCAAACCCCTCGAAAATAATGGGGACAGCTTCACACCTAGATAACTAGGTTGCGAGCGAGCCATTCAATGTCATATTTTGTGACCAACAAACGAGACACGAAACGACCCAGAAGTAAGTTACCTGGGTACAACACTGAACCGCATCTTCACACGAAAATCATCATCATCAAAATCATGTTGAGAAGACCTGCGATAAGGTGAGACCATGGGTAAGTCTCGTGCGCAAGCTCGCAGGCACCACGTTGAGAGCCGGAGCTCGCACGCTTCAAACAGGGACACTGGCGCTGACATACCGGGTGGCTTTAAAAAAAAAAAAAAACAGTCCTGTTTGACGCTTTATAAAACCCGCTGTGAATAATCTCGGTTCGTGCGATTTTTATTATTACATTCGAAATACTAAAAAAAAAATGTTCTTGGAAATATCATGCGTCCAGGTTGTCTGAATAAAAAGCGACACTCGTTCAAAGTGGAGTTATACGAGTAAATTGTACCTTTTTCCCCCTGTGAAGTGGATGGAATTTCAGCACTTTGAAAATGATTTCTCTGGGGAGGGGGGGGAGGAGGAGCTACCCAAGTAACACAAGATATTCCAGCAACGTTTAGGAAATGTTGATATGTGTGAGAGCGTGTGTGTGAGAGCGTGTGTGTGAGAGCGTGTGTGTGAGAGCGTGTGTGTGAGAGCGTGTGTGTGAGAGCGTGTGTCTGAGAGCGTGTGTGTGAGAGCGTGTGTGAGAGAGCGTGTGTGCGAGAGCGTCTGCACAAGCGAGGTAGTGAAAGAAGGTGAGAACTTGTGTGACATCTCACTCACTCTCAAACGGATGGTCTCACCAAATATCTCACACACATTCTCATTCATATGCTCTCACACAAGCTTTAACACACTCTCACACATGCTCTCACACCAATGCCCACACATGTGAGAGTATGTGTTCGGGTGTGAACATGTGCAAGTGACCATTTGTAAATGCGAGGGTTTGTGGCAATGCATATAAGCAAGTGCATGTGTGAAAACGCCTGCCTCCCCTCTTTTATTCATGGGTGGGTGAGGGCATGTGTGACAGCATGAATTTCTGAGCATGTGTTTGAGAGCGTGTGTGACTGAGAGTATGAGTGAGTGTGATGCTCTGCCACACGTTTACCCACACACGCTCTCATACATGCTTTAACAGACACACTCTCACAACAATGCTTTCCCACATATGCTGTTGCGCACATGTTCACACATGCACAAACATAAATATGCTAACACATGCGATCTCGGATGCACGCTATCACACACATGGTCCCACACGTGTAAAGGCATGCACTGACACACTCACTGTCACTCCCACGCACTCATCACACTATTTCCCACGCACAAGTTCACACATGCTCTCATGAACATGCTCTCATTCATAGGTTCACATGACATCACACAAATGCTGACAGAAACTCATGTAGCTTCTCACACTCGCTAACCCAAGTAACACAAGATATTCCAACAATGTTTAGGAAATGTTGATGAACAATGTTGCATCTATGTGTAAATGTGCAAAACGTCAACGTTTCTCAAATGTTGCGAAGGAACATTGCAATTACTTTGCAAATCGCTACTTATTCATTACATATACGTTGCAGATATGTTTCAGGATTTATGTTGCTGGAATGTTGATTAAAAACGTTGCTTCACGGGCACCTAATCTGGGCCTATATTGGCATTTCGGAAAAGCAATAATGCCGTGTTGAGAATTTCCTCATTCAAGCTTTCGCATCACAGTTTCAGAGAAGTTCTTATCTTTAAACGTCACGGAAATAAAAATCGGCACGCTTCGCAGAGAGTCAAAAAAGCAATACTTTTTTATATGCGATTCTTGTCCACGAAACCATGCCGGCAACCGATATTTCATTCGTCCCAGGTGAAGGTAACCCCACACACACTTTTATGATCAGTGAAGCACCTAAAGCGCCATCCGTCCAGCATCAGTCGAATGCCAATCGCAGAATTCGGACTCTTTGAAGCCCAACCCAGAATTTCTCTCCACGATGCAACGCGACCCACAGATCGCGTTTCTCAGCGTTATGACCCGCTGCGAGCAACGACGCATCGCCCGCGCCGCTAAAAGACCACCAGGTCCCGCCCGCGAATCCCACGAGTGTCAGACGCAAGCACTTGTGTCTATGGTGCCGATAATGGAGACACACCAGCTGCGACCGTTAGCAGATGCAATACTCGATCTCATTTTTTCAAGTTCGTTCGGCAGTCGGGGATGAAGATGGCGTCGCATCCATAGTCGCAGTACTCGGCCGCACGTTCAGTTTCGGGAGGGAGTAATCGAGGAACCAGAACTAGGTTCTCAGATCTTTAAAAATTCACATTCGGCTGTGGTCATGCACAAGCCTCTGTTCGCTTCATACTCATCAATTGGGTTGGGCGAAAAAATTGAAATGACGGGGTGTTTTTGAGTCTAGGTCCCAGAACCGAAGCGTTGTCTCCACGTGCAAAACGATGGAGCGCCAATTTTGAATATTTGAAATGGAAGGAAGGCAAAAAATGAGGAACTTTTTTTTAAGAGATGCACAACCTTCAAGAAGGATCGGGGAATTCGCCATTTTCGCAACACTCCACTTGAGATTTTTGCGAATTTATAGCAGGTACAGAGGTGAATAAGGCAACGCAATTCATTTTTTGGATAGAGCATTATGCATATTCTTTCAAATCAAATAGAAGGTAAGTGCCTGACTCGCATTTTTTATTTCTCCCGGATCGTGAAATTCCAAACAGACTTGTCTTACGCCATAAATTCCCAATTTCTTCCCCCCCCCCCCCCCGGATTTATTTATTTTTCTTAATCAGGCAGAGACAAGAATCGACAAATGGAAGAGGATGCATTAATGCATCCGCTTCTTTCAGAAAAATTGAAAAAAAAAATCCTTGCCGAATATTCGGCAAGGATTTTTTTTTCAATTTTTCTGAATGTTTTCAACCCTTGATTTCTTTGCAGCATCTTACTAATAACATAGTGCAAGGCACATTGAGATCACGCGGAGGATTGCTCAACTGCCCAGCACTTACGGATTTGAATAAGGAATCCCTCGGGCCAAACGCATGATTACGCAATAGCAACTTGCAAAATGTATTCCTCACTTGAGCTTGCAGAATCTTCTGCGTGCTTCCTCGAAAAATGGAAGCAGCTTAAGATTCCTTGCCGAATAGTCTGTCATCACCAATGCTGTGCTTGCCACACTTTTGGTGTAGTTGGAGTCGCAAACAGTAATACGAGGGAATCGAGTCTATAGCATCCCTCCAACCCTTTACTTGCTAATTGCCTCGAAAAACATAATATCATTTTGACATTACGCTAAAATGTCGAAATTAACTATGTTATTTTCTCCCGCCTATTTATATCGGACCCGATGTGCATATTTTGCCAACTCTATCCCAGTGAGTTGGACCCTCGAGGCATTTCGATCCACACACAAAACAGAGCTGACGAGTGCCGTTCAAAACACTTTCCCCAGCTGGCAGTCAACCATAAATTGCTACGTCTGCACAAAACCGAGAGAAAAGCTGCCATCCGCCTGGCCACACGCAGGCAAATGCGTTGCAGACCTCCCAAAGCAAAAGCCAACCCTTCTCGAGAGACCCCCCCCAAACCTTCTGGCCCGGCGTCTGCCCTCCGCATCCTCCTTTCATTCTCTTGTCCTTGCAATTAGGAATGCTTCCCTCGATTTTCCAAAACTGATGCGCCTTGCATCAACAACTTCTAGCAAAATGCTCCTAAAGTGGATCATGAAATATATTTGTCTTCATTTGTGAACGCACCAAATTAAAAAAGCATTTCAATTCAAGGAACGCTTTGGAATCTAAACTTCATACAACTTCTCTCTGTCTCTCAACTATATGCTGAAATTTGCCAACAACCCAAAATTAAACCCACTCAATTTTATTTTTATCGTAATAGCTCTACGGTGTACGGCGCACTTCATTGTGTTAAAATCTCGATGTTTTCTTATCTCATGCTCCTTTTCCATGTCTATTTATTACCTCTTCACACACAGACTTGAATTTACGTTTGGTTTCTTGGTGTTTTTTTCCCTTTTTTTTGTCGTAACCATTTTGTACCAGCTGATTCTTGTATCTGCCTAATTAAATCAATTAATAAATTCAGGAGAGAGAAGGAAATTGGGAATTTATGGTTCAATGTGAGTTTGCGGAAAATCCCATGGTCCGATCGAAAAGAAAATGCGAGACAGGTACTTACCTTCTATTTGCATTGAAAAAATATGCATAATGCTCTATCCAAGAAATGAATTGCGTTGTTTTATTTACCTCTGTACCGCCTATAATTTCCCAAAAAATCTCAAGTGTAGGGTTGCTAAAATGGCGAATTCTCCCATCCTTCTTGAGGGTTGAGCATCTCCTAAAAAAAAATTGTTCCTCATTTTTTGCCTGCCTTCCATTTCCAAGAATATAATATTCCATATTGGCGCCCTATCGTTTTCCATTAGAGAAAGGCTTCTCATGTGCAACAAAAAACGGCAAGTTAAAAGCGTTTGGAGGTTTACGAGGCATTAAAGTAGGAGTTAGGCTATTGTGTTCACCATGCCATGCCTTGTTATATAATTTCCATGTAAATAATTCCATCGCGCGACTGCCAATCGCCTATGAGAGTGCTCGACCGTATAATATTGATAATTCGATTAAATTCAAAATTCATTTGGATTTGAGGAGAGGAAAGCGTCGAGCGGAAATCGTGGGTCTTCCAAGGCAAACGGGGATATGTTCTTCAAATTTTAAATTAAGGGCAAAGGAAATGAAATTCGCTTAAATTCCTGTCTGTTTTGAAGCGAAATTTCAACTCGAAAGTTGCTGGTATTTAGAAAAACTCCCATGATTCCTTGATGGTCGAGTGTAGACTGTTGGAACACTTGCGATGGAATGGCACTCCTGTAAATTGCGTCACAGAGAATTGCATGGCGCAAACAAAAGTGCTGGCAAAAACCTAGCCCTCATTCCAAGGCCTTCCAAAGGGCCATCGCTGATCGAAATGTATCATTTTCAGTTGGATATGCGAAGCTATCTTTCGCCCATATAAAAAGGATAGGGCATTTTACTTTTAATCACCCTACATGGAAGTGAACATTTTATACTCATATCTGATGTCATGCAGTTCGTTCCCATTCCAAAAAAAAAAAAATATTTAATAAAAATCCCTGTCTCGGTCAGTGGATAATATTCGCAGTTTTTTCAATTTCGTAAATTTTTACAAAGTTCTTGGAAAACGTCATGCTCAATACCTCATAGATATAGAGTATGTACTTCCAAGTAGGCGTGTATTTTCAGTTCCACATAGTTTAGTTCAAGAAATGCAATGAAATGGGGGAAAAAACGATTGGGCAAGTCGCCACTGTTTCAGCCTTCCACTAGCGATTTGAAAAAAAAATTAAAGAGCTGCAGGTACAGAGGTACAAGAATTCATCACTTGGAAAGCAGCATCACACATTTTTTCAGTATGATCAGAGAGTAAGCGAATCGACTAGTAATTCTCAGGCGGCTTGATTTGAAATGGAACCACAGAAGGGGAAAATCCTTCATCATGCACCTCTCCCATGACGAGATGGAAAACCGACAACAGGTGCTCTCACGTGATGATATTTAACAAATGTTCCGCACACATATCTGCATTTCACATGTATACGTGGCCGTGTAAAATGTGACGCCAGCAAGTGTGGAGGAAAACCCTCTCGACCAGGATCTCAGAGGATATAAAGCTGCGTCGGGACGAAGGGAGGGTCAGAGGATCACGAGACACAGACCGACATGGAGGTCCCTTATTTCACGCTGTTTCTTCGAATCCTGTTCCTCATTCACGGCCTGGTTCGGGAGACCAACTCTAACATATTCTCGGTGTTGTGTCCTGTTTTTTTTCATGAATTTTGGCTTCCTTTGCAGGATGGATTCGGTGGCGAGGAAGAGCCATTGAAGAGGCAGAATCCGCCATGCTCCTCAACCCAAACATTAACTAATGGACAATCATCTCCCCTGAACACCGGGACCAACCTAAATATTGCCTCTTGCTCCTGGAAATTCACCGTCAGTCATCGAAAATCATTTTTCCAAGGATTTATTTACAACTCTAAAACCAAATTCAATATAAGTTAGAAATTCTCTCTCTCTCTCTCTCTCTCTCATAGTGCCCGAATAACATGACTCTACAATGCTCCATTGCCTATGTACCTTGCCCGCAAACAACATTCGTCGCCAATAACATTAGGTATGTCCGAGCCGAGAGCATTTTCTTTTCTGGTGTCATTCGCCGTCTCGACAGATGTTGAGAAGGATCACGAATATGTTTCATTACGAAGGTATTGCGGCTCAGGGAAGGTGAACCCCACCAATGTAGGAACTTCTTTGATCGTCCAGTTCTCCCAAACCAGCAGAGGATCCCGCTTCACCTGCAGTGTTAATTGCGGTCAGTTTCGCGTCGGTTCAAGCACGTATTTATGCATGGAAGTGCCTATAATACTTTTTTACCTCTGATAGGTACTATTACCACGACCACAACAACCCCGACCACAACAACCCCGACCACAACAACCCCGACCACAACAACCCCGACCACAACAACCCCGACCACAACAACCCCGACCACAACAACCCCGATTCCTACGGGTACAGCAACGACTCCTACGGTTACTGCAACGACTCCTACGACTACTCCACCTTCCACTTGCAGTGAGTATCCACACATTCTTCGAGCATCACTTTTCATCAAAACAATTGCGAAAACTTTTTTAATCCACTTCCAGTTTGCGGCGTGTCCCAGCTGGCCCCAATGCTCGGGAGATCGATGGAGACGAAAAAGACACAAGAGGAGGATTTAGATCGGATCGTGGGAGGGACGGCTGTGCTCGACCAACGGAAGTACCCGTGGATGGCCTATTTCGGGGGATGCGGAGGGGCTCTCATCAACGATCGATACGTTCTCACTGCTGCTCATTGCATCACAAGGTGCTCGGTCGCTATTCATTTATTTTGTTTACCCTTTTTTTTTACGAGGTCCTCTATTTTTCAAGTCTCCGGATGTTGAGCTTATGGCGATGACTGTCTCCGCAACCAGTTATGATTTATTCATGCAAATATCAGTTTAAATTAAGCCATGAAAGCATCTAATTCAAATTGAGAAACCAACATTAACAGGAAAACTACTATTTCTAATTTACGCCATCATAAGAACCAGCATTACAATTTCTGACAGCAAAAGATATTTTATTATTTCTAGAGTCTCTTCTGTCTTGTATCTTTCAGGGATTTATATCTCTCTAAGATTCCCTTTTTACCTTTCATACGTTTTCTTCACAACAAATTCAGCCAGTCGGCAACAGTCTCAGTGACGCTGGGCGACCTGGACAAGTCGAACCCCTCAGACGGTGATACCATCACTATCTCAGCGACACCCATCGTCCACCCGCAATACAACGCCCAGACAATAGATAACGACGTGGCCTTGCTGCAACTGAACACCTCCGTGGATTTCACTGCCCACCCAACCATCCGTCCCATCTGCCTCTCCTCCTCGGCTAAGCCCGTGGCAGGCCAGAATGTCGTCATTGCCGGATGGGGCACAACCTCCTTCGGTGAGTCCTGGATTTATTTCTGTAGTTACTTTCTACCGTCGATACAGAGAGACCGTGTTGGTTCCTGGTTCAGATGGCCTGAACTAGACAAAATGAAAGCCGTTTAATAGATACCTTTTTCGCTCTGGGGTTTCCAGTTTCTTTTTTAAGACACCATTTACTGTGTGACAGTCATCAGACAATGCATGAAAATGCGTGAAACTAAGAGAATTCCAAGGCAGCGCAATCTCTTCTCATGCACAGATGAGCGGGAAGGAGAGTTAAAAAGGCTAGTAAAGCTAATGGCAGTCCCCATAAGCTTCACACTGGGCAATAGTAGTGCAATTCTTTTCTATGCAATTGTATTGTAATTCTTTTCTATTTCTGCGGTCTCCTCCACGGAATCGCTGGTCGAGAGAAGAAAACGGGTTCCGACTCTTCTGGGATTTTTGATCCTCCTATCCGACGTTTTCAATTTCAATGCTCTCAAGCAGAATGCTCGAAAATTTGCCTGGTCTCCAATGAAGTTTAAGTATTTTTTTATTTTTGGAAATTTCTAATGGTTTTCGAGTTCGCATCGTCGAAGAATCTGCCGAAATGTAGAAGCAATGCTGGTACCCTCGAAGGCGCTGCTGGAGTTCGAACGCTCAACATCTCTTACTAGAGCAACTAAAATAAGAAACCTTCTTGACCTCCTTTAAAATTCCAAATGAATACGTTGACCATTTTGGGGCAGGTGGGTCAGTGTCGTCGGTGATGAGAGAAGCCGTTGTCAAGATTGACGACCAGGCGACGTGTGCGAGCGCCTACAATCCCTACGCAGGTGGAACAGGACGCTCTATCACCGGCAACATGTTCTGCGCTTCTGGACAGGGCATGGATGCTTGTCAGGTGGGCCGCAGGGATGGGAATTTTCTCATCATGATCACGTTTGAAATAGATTTCAAAGGGAAGGTAAAGGGAAATTAAAAAAAGAGATGTTAGCGAAAGTGACATTAGATACGATAGCAGAAGCAGATAAATAAACCGAATTGGAACGAACTACCCATGAGAGCCAGAGGAAGGATATTTATAAATGCATATCCAAAATTTTTCAGTGGTCTACTTCCACAAGAGCACGAAAAACACATTCTTTTATATTCCAAAAGAAAAAAGCTATATATGTACAGTGCTGCTTTGCACAGTCGTGCGTCTGTGTCCATTTCCACTTCACCTGTTCTCACGTCGATGCCAACATTTCCTAGCCAAAAGCTTTCTCGATTCCGCGACGATGTTCTTGCCACTTCCATCGACGGAGTTGAATCGGACTTGCTAGATGTTTTTCCCCGGCTATGACGTGTAGGGTGATTCGGGAGGACCGGCGATGCAAAAAAACACGGACGGGTCCTTCGTAGAGATCGGGATCGTTTCGTGGGGATACGGATGCGCGGACCCGCTATTCCCCGGTGTCTACACGGTGGTCGCAAGTGAGTGGAATCCATCGTGATGTTTCGCCGCTTCCTTGGGTTATGGGGTTATCGTGGGATCACGCGTCTCGTTACAGATTACGTGGACAACTTCATCCGTGACAACACAAAAGATGCTGTGGTATGCCGACCTCTTCCGCCGATACGAGGCAAAGAATAAAGCTGTCTCTGCAAAATCATTATTGCATACGTTTATTCTGAACGGTATGAGCATTCTCTCCTCTCTTACCGGGGGCGGGTAATACAGGTAATACCAGGCATACATGTACATACACTGCACCTGTGATGGTAACTGAGATACTCGAAAGATACGTACATGGTGTCCACAAATTATGCATATAATTTACAAGTCGTATTACTTCGAAAGAATAATCATAGAAAAGTTTCACTTTACTTCATGGTATACATAATTTGTGGGCGCCTTGTACAGTATTCGAATTCAGATATGTACTTGTACATGTACCTGCATCTCAAACGAACTGGCAATACTCTCGCCTTCGGCGCTCGACTATACGAATAAACCTAGTAATTTATTTGAAACGTGCGCCTTAGGCGCTCGCACCTTCGTGGATTTTAGGCATTTTTCATTGTGAAGTCATCTCACTTCCGGTTATGTTACGCGAAACAGTCAATCTGAGATTAATAACATCAAATAAAAATATATATTCCTTCAAGGAGCCCTTGAGTAATTAAGAAAATTTTCTGTACCAATTTCAACGGATTTCTTTTTATTTTATTTTCTTACGTCACGTGACTTCCCGCACGAGGAGCACTGGGTGACATTTCACAATGCGTGGCCTAACGCCAAAACAGGCTCACCAATGGCTCTAGTCGGGTGAAACTGGGAGAACGTCCCATTTCGGGGAAACGCCAACCAAGACGAAGTATGAAGTTGGGGTGGGGGTGGAAGGGGGATCCTTGCCTCTCCCTCGAAGGTCCCCTAAGGACTTTATCCTTCATACAATACCTTTTATGATATAAGACAAGCTTTTTTCAAGGGAAATTTTTAAGGAGGAAAAATTTTCTCCGATGTTGGTTTTTTCCTGAGACGAACACCCAACTAGTTTCCACAGTACCAAGCTTGCTATATCTGCCCAATTCGCTGGAGTGAAAAATGTTCATTGTAAACATCCCCCTTCCTCTAAAATTGCATCCAACGGAGATGTATCCTGAAATTAAAATAAATAAAAAATCAATACTCCAACAGCTACATGCATAACATGTTTCACCTTTCGTTATCGATCCTATTTGCTAGAGCGAAAAATTTTCGGGAAGTACGTCTCGCTCAAAAATGGGTCCTCGAGGGATTTACTCCGAAAGTTGGATTTTATCTGGACTCACCACCCTAATAGCTACTCGAATGCGAAGTTTCAGCTTTCTATCATATACACGTATAGAACATGGTTAAAATAAGCGTCAGTCACTCACTCAGCCACGATCGTCTATATACGCCTCTAAGTCAATAATATACTTTTACGTCAAAGCACCTTGTACCTATATTTCAAATACAGAGTGGAACAGAAAAATGTAGACACTCGTCACGAACCGATATCTTTCATATTTAGGGTCACAAGTATAGGCAATTTTGTTTTGCAACACATCTTTGATTGTGCTGCCGAGTCGCTCCTTCATAGTCGCCAGATCGCAGGCAGACGCTTCCTGTTTCAGTCAGCTAGTTTAGGTTGGCGATGGCATCAGAGCGGTTGTCTGCGAAGAAGCGCTGTTAAGAGTCTGAAGTGGTATTCGAAGACTGTGATTATCGCGGATGTTCCTCGATTGTACACCCGCGAGCTTGGACGCTCCGAGACGTCTCACAATAACAAGGATAGGAGATAAGTTCAACGCCGCCAGTACAACAGGTGATCAACACAGCCGAAAGCAAACAGCCCGATCCGAGGAGAACGTCGCTACCTTCACCTCATCGATCACGGATTAGCTCGGTGGAAGTCCGAAGTGGTGTTGGAAGATTGAGAAGACACGGATGTCCAACGATTGAGAACCCTCCAGTTCGGACGTCCACCGTGAAAACTCGGGTTCGAACGTAGTCAAGAAGGTGGCCCGTGATTTATGTTGCCTGAGTTTTACAGTCATCATGTATAAGAAACTTGAAACCTCGCATTTTGACGAATGCTGAGATTCTCAAAGACCAACCATCTGAAAGCATTACATACAAATTTTCACATAGATAACTATTGGGGATACCAAGTTTTTCCTCATCTATGCTTCCGGGAAATAACTTAGCCACGCAAACATTAAGCTTGTGCCATATTTACTTTCTAGAAACCCCCATGACCGTAAAGAAAAATATCTTTCCTCCACCCCCCTCATGACTTGGAATCTCCGCTAGACGCTATGGTACTCGCCTTTAATCATGAATTTCAATTAATACAGCTTTTTCCCCAGAATCGTGGAGGTCAAGAGCGACGGGAAAAAGAAAACCAATTAAAAAACAAGAAAACCTCCTAGAAGAAGAATGAAATACTATCTAGGATGGACCGGTAGGCATTTCCCATCAAGGACATTATAGCCTCTCAGCTTCTCTTCTGTCAGTCACTTGAAGGGAGCAAGACGAAAACCTTTACGCGATGCTCCTATTAAGGGTTTTTGCGTGTCACATGCAACGTGATGCCCATAAACACGACAACGAATGTCGTCAAAAGGCCACCGGAAGTCGAGTTATCCATCTCCCGGTATGATTAGCAACATGAAAAAAGCCCTTCTCAGGGCCAACACCGAAGAACTGTAGGACCGGTCCTCCGCGTCTACCGACTCAGCGCAGAAGGGTTTTCGCAAGCAAAGTGAGGCTACCTTTCGAGGACCCACAAGGACAACAACGACGTAGTCACCCTTCAAGATAGAACAACGCGAAACGCGGAGAACTACGAGAAGGCCGCGAGATACAAGTTCCACGGGTACGATCTCATTGCTTCCGTTTGTGAAGCAAAGCATGGCCTCGCCACGTACACGTACATCAGACACGGCCTCGATGCCATGGTCCTGGAGGAAACCATGACTATGGGGAATCCCATTCACACGGTAAGGATAGGGCGAATTACCCTGGCCAACGTTTATAAGCTGCCCAACACCGAATGGTCGAATACCGCCGCTCCCACACTCAGCTGTGTACAGTATATAGGTGACTTCGACAGCCACCGCTTGGACTGGAGATGCAGCAAAAAAGACGCCTCCGGCGAACAGGTCACAGGTTGGGCTTCGCTCGATGTCCACCTGCTCTTCGATCCCACATTTCGGCTACAAGGTGGAGCACAAATCGCAACTCGGACCAGTGCTTCCTGTCGAAAAACAGCAAAGGGTATCCCCTTTGTCCGCTTCACGAACCATTCTCAGCCGACTCCTCCGAAGCCATCGTGCGAATCGCCATCGAAGTGTCACTGATTGAATCGACTTTGAAACCGCACTGAATCTTCCGCAAAGCAAACTGAGCCGCTTACACTTTTGAAGTCGAAGATCGGGTACAATGCATCAAACCAACACCAGCGAACTTCGACCGATTCACCCACGTCCTCCATCACGCCCGCCACTAAACACATCCCCGCTGTCACCGCAAGGCTGATCCACTTCGTGCTGAACCCCGGGGACAGAGAGACTCCTTAAGGAGTACAAGAGCGCTTACCCGGACAAAGAAACAGCACTGATAGAGTCACCGAACTCAACGCCTGAAACGGTGGAGTGAAACAGTAAGACCTTGACTTCACTCACTCCAGCTGCAAGGCATGGGCATTCCTCCGTCAACTTGGAATCGCCACGCCGGTGAAACACAACTAGGCAAAAGTATCAGCAAATATTGTCGCTGCTCAACTCCTCCGGAAGACAAAGTCACCGACCGACGAAACCACCAAACAGAAAGTACAAAAAGAGCCTTTTCAA